AGTCTGAGCCTTAACCAAATGAACCACCCAAGCATTCCTCAAATAGCCATGTTAACACACTGATAGTGCCTTCAGATTACGGTTTTCTTGCTGGAAAATGTGGAAAGGGAATGAAAGCGATAATGGTGATCTGGTGAAATGTTGTAAATGATCATTTTCTAGAAAAATCAGACTACAGCCATACCACCCTCAACATGGCCAATCTCATCTAAAAGTACCATAAGGAAAGAAAGAATGAAAGGGAGGGAAGGAGGGAGGAAAGATCAGAAAAATGCTCTGATTTATTAATAGAGCTCCTCCTTTTGCTAAAATTATGAATCATATACTTCTGCAGTAATATTTGTGTACTGGCAACCTCACAATTGCTCTGATTTAATGTTTTTATACAGAGAGCCTTTGGAAAAGAAGCAGAGATGAGACATTAGTGATTTGTGATGCTTCAGCTCTAGAATCCCAGCTTGTCTACAGAATTATCAACAGTAGGAAATGATCAGTTTGGTCTCCATATAAAATGATTTATACTGTTGTTCACCAAGAGTGAAACATCCTTAGGTAAAATAGAAAGAGATACTTCTATCCTACACTTTTACTTGGGCTCAACCTGCTTTCTTCTTTCTGTGGCAGCTGCTCACCCAGCAATGGCATGTCCCCACACTGCTGGTGCTAATCTTGTAAGTGCCTCCCTTGACAGTAGACACCTGGGGTTATCAATCTCTGTCTTTCCTGGTCCGTCCTGCCAGAATACTGTTCGGTCTCCCCGAGTTCTCTGGATGTAGTTTTCTGATAAGGAAAGTACTTACGTGCAGGACGGAACCAGGTTTAATGGGTGCTTTACCAACAACATTTTTAAAGCCTAGCTCTGGCTTTCATGTTGTTATAATTATCATTTGTTGGCTGGTTGTTTATTCCCTGCTTCATTCCAAAAAGGACTTGTGACATCTTACAAAAGGATATTGCAATGTCATAAAATTCAGATTTCTTTTTAAAAAGGAAAAAAATTTGAGTGAAAGGGAAATAAAAGTAGAAACTCTGCATAATCTATAAAAGTTCACATTCTAGAAATTTCTTCACCTTCTTGCCTCTGTGTCCTATATAGAAACCTTTCAGTGGATGTCTAAATATAGATTTACTTTTGTTTGACCCACTGCCAAAAATAAGCTTTTCTAGCAGTATAAAAGAGAACAGGGATGAAGTAAAAATCCCTTAAGTCAACATTTTCTTTTTTTTTTTTATGTTTATTTATTTTTGAGAGACAGAGAGCACATGCACAAGTTGGGGAGTGGCTGAGAGAGAGGAAGACACAAAATCTGAAGCAGGATCCAGGCTGTCAGCACAGAGCCCGACACGGGGCTTGAACCCACGAAACATGAGATCATGACCTGAGCCAAAGTCGGACACTTAACCAACTGAGCCACCCACGTGCCCCTTAAGTCAGTATTTTCCAAGCGGTGTTCTGCAGCACAGCAACCAACATTGCCTAAAACGTTTCCCGAAGGAAAGAAAACAAATGTTGCTGCCTGCAGGACTTCTCAGGGCCTTCCATATGGCCAAACCTAACCACTTCTGACCAGCTTCACCATTATCTCGCTGTAGTCTAAGCCTCCATCATCTCCCGGCTGCACTTTGCATCCACCTCCTGCTCATATCCCTGCTTCTACCCTCGGCCCTTTCCTGTCCGTGCTCAACACAGCAGTCACAGGAGTGAGGCTTTATAACCCAAGTCATGCTACTGTTCCTCAAAGCCCCCGCTGTCTTGGAAACACTGCCTTCATTTTCATTTGGTAAAATTGGCTTCAGCCTTTTCCTTTACGTACTTTCAGTCCAAGACCCTGTGCCGTTCCATCAGCCCCTTTCCTTCACTACCCAGAGCCATGGGGCATGTCCTGTCTGTCACCTCGGTGCCTAGCAGCCGGCCTGCATCTGAAACACAGGCTGGGAAAGCTCCGGTGGGGATGACCTCAAGCCCCATAGTAGACTCCCTCCCGAGGTCTTTACTTCTCACCGATAAACATAGTTTCAGGGGGCACCTGGGTGGCTCAGTCGGTTAAGCATCCGACTTCGGCTCAGGTCACAATCTCACGGTCCGTGAGTTTGAGCCCCGCATCGGGCTCTGGGCTGATGGCTCGGAGCTTGGAGCCTGCTTCTGATTCTGTGTCTCCCTCTCTCTCTCTCTGCCCCTCCCCCGTTCATGCTCTGTCTCTCTCTGTCTCAAAAATAAATAAACGTTAAAAAATATTTTTTTAAAAAAAACATCGTTTCAGGAGGCATCTGATCAGGTAAATATGGAAAACTGAGGTCACCCTGGGTACCTTTGTGGCACTGTAAAAGCATTCCTGTTCTATTTTGTGATGTTGCAGGAACAGCCATGTGAGGAACGGGCCTAGTTCACCACTTACATCCGAGCAGAACTCTACCTAAGAGAGTAGAGAACTCTACCTTATGCTGATGCATAAGCACATGTCCCGATCAAAAGCAAGCACTAAACAAGTCCACAGTGGGTTTTATACCCACTTCAGTATTTAATGTCTTGTTTTTATTCAATACGATTATTTTTGGTGCTTCAGATGGGGGAGACGCTTTGTCCACCTGCCACACCTTTCCAGCCATGGCACACCCTTCCGGACTGTTATTCCTACTCACCACCTCAGTGCTCCTTTTCTTTCAGTTCCCTTTTTCCCCACAAACTTAAAAAAAAAAAAAAAGACAAAGCCACTTTGATAATGTTGAGTGAAGAAAATCATCCTTCTCTCTCTCTCTTTTTTGTTTTTTTTAAACCCAAGCCCTACTTACATGCGACCTAACATTTCCTTGCTAAAAGGTAATCCTGTTTATGCTGGATCTGCTTTCAGTGGCAATTGAAACTACACATTCACTATTGTTGCGGTTAGCATTGTGCTCTCCTGGCAGAAAAACTGATCTACAGTGGCTTCAACAGAGAGGGTTTTGTTTTCCTTAAATAAAGAGAAGTCTGAAGTATAGCATACCCAAAAGGGCGTACAGATAAATTATTGGAAATATTCAGAGAATACCAGATCAATAGACAAAAGCTGATTGTACTTCTACACATCAGCAGTAGTTAGAAACTAAGATTAAAAAAAATAATAATAAAAGATAGAATAGCAAGTACCTAAGAGGAAATGTAACGAAAGATGGGCAAAACTTATATGGGGACAACTGTAAAACTTTATTAAGAGCTAATGAAGAGGGGCGCCTGGGTGGCACAGTCGGTTAAGCGTCCGGCTTCAGCCAGGTCACGATCTCGCGGTCCGTGAGTTCGAGCCCCACGTCAGGCTCTGGGCTGTTGGCTCAGAGCCTGGAGCCTGTTTCTGTTTCTGTGTCTCCCTCTCTCTCTCTCTGCCCCTCCCCCGTTCATACTCTGTCTCTCTCTGTCCCAAAAATAAATAAACGTTGGAAAAAAAATTTTTTTTAAAAAAAAGCTAATGAAGAAAGGTGAAATGAATGGTGAGATCCACCATGACTCAGCCCAGGTTCACACTGCTCTAAAACATCAGATAAGGCGCCCTTGGTGTCCATCCTGGCTGCAAGTAGAATGGCATTCGATAAGACCTTGACCTTCATTGGAAAACGTGAAGTTGCGTGGCAGCTGGGTCTCACTCGTACCTTTATTCCTGCTCACTTACACCTTGGTCCCAAAGTATAATACCAAAACTGGGTGGTCCTCAATTCTAAGATCATTCTGTAACTGCTCCAACCCCCTATAAACCCTACGAATTAGTAATACCCCTATTCACTTGCATGGCCCACAAGGGCCAGATCATAACTGATTAACCGCTCTGACTCCTGAGCCTAGCAGCACCCAGTAGGCCCTTCATTATGACTTATTGAGGGGTGCTTGGGTGGCTCAGTCAGTTAAATGGCAGACTTTGGCTTAGTTCATGAATGATCTCATGGTTCATGAGTTCAAGCCCCATGTTGGGCTCTGTGCTGACAGCTCGGAGCCTGGACCCTGCTTTGGATTCTGTGTCTCCCTCTCACTCTCTGCCCCTCCCCCGCTCATGCTCTCACTCTCTAAACTAAACATTTTTTTAAAAAAGACTTAACTGAATACATGACTGAATTAAGCTGCAATGGGCTGTTCTCTAGAAATTGCGTCAAGTAGTTGGTGTAAACAGATCTTCTCAGTCAGGACTTCCAGTTCAAAAGCAGTGGCCTCTTAAAAGTATTAAGACCATGTCCAGAGTTCTGGGTTTGTTTTCTCAGAATTTCTGCCTCCCACCTCCTGCCATGTGGAATTTCAAGTACCTGTGCTTCCCTCTTGAACATGAACTCTTGAATTGAGAGACAGGAACCAGCGGGAAACCTGAGGAAAGCATACTTCTGAATAGAAAAGTTCGTTTTCATTGTTTTGATTTCCATGTATCCCCCACTTTTGATCATGGCCATGAGATTTAAATTTCTCTTACAGATCTTATTCTCAGACCCATCCGTCCCTGTATCTATCATTGTAAGACCTAGGTATCTCTTTCCTCTATTGCATGGAAGAGGTGAACATTCTATGCATTTGCAGAAAAGCTTCTGAAAGTAGTAACTGTTAGGGGGAGCCTGTGATTCATTGAGCTTGTAATGTTACCTGAGGTCAATTCTTACTCAAACAAGGCCTGAAACTACTAAAGTGCAGCCATTTTCTAGAGATAATGTTGACAAAATCCTTCATTCTCAACAGGTCGCAGATGAGCCAGCAGGGAGTTTGAACGAAGTGATTCATGGTTTGCAAAGTCACAGCAAACTACGGAGAGCTTGTGAGGTGCTCCAGAAACTGACGGCCTTTATGCCAGAATTTTCTAAGTCAGCTCAAGTAAGCAAGAGGGTGATCGGGAGGAAACGAGATATGAGAAAGGGGGAAGTGAAACAGACAAAATGTGTATAAAATAGAAAATACGTAATCTAGAGATTGTGCCCTGTGCAGAATTTAGCCTTGTGAACCATTTTGTAGAGACCCAATTTAACATTCAGTCAGGGTATATTTACCTCTAAGTCTGAAGATTGCGGATAAATTGATCAGTAATGACCTTTTCAGATATGCTGTGTTTATTTTCTTTTGATCATTTATCAAGTTACTGTCTTTCTGATACATTTGTTAGACATAATGGGAGACAGAAATAGATCCACTCCTTGCCCGAGATAGAGCAGTTCAGCTTCGAAACAGACATGGGCCATCAGTGCCCCCGCAATGTTTACATTTGTTCCCTCCACATTTGCCAAGTTACTCCCAGTAATTATTCATGCCTGTCTCTACTCCCTACACATAAATAAATTAAGGGAATGAGGTTCATGAGAATTTTCATTTTTTTTCTTTTCCATGTCCTATATTTTCAGATATCTGTGATAAGCATATATATACAATCTGTGCTGGTTTATTTGGGCTGGTTTATTTTTAATTACGGCAATAATACATACTTGTTATTTAAAAATCTGAATTAAAGCATATAAAGTTATAAAGCAATAGCCCTCACTGTCTTTATCCTTCTTGCTAATCCCATTCTCAGGATGTAATCACTATTATCAGATTTTTTTTTTTTTAAGTTACATCCAAATTAGCCTATAGTGCAACAATGATTTCAGGAGTAGATTCCTTAGTACCCCTTACCCATTTAGCCCATCCCCCTTCTCACACCCCCTCCAGGAACCCTCAGTTTGTTCTCCATATTTATGAGTCTCTTCTGTTTTGTGCCCCTCCCTGTTTTTATATTATTTTTGTTTCCCTTCCCTTATGTTCATCTGTTTTGTCTCTTAAAGTCCTCACATGAGTGAAGTCATACGATTTTCTCTGACTAATTTCACTTAGCATAATATCCTCTAGTTCCATCCACGTAGTTGCAAATGGCAAGATTTCATTCTTTTTGATTGCCGAGTAATACTCCATTGTGTGTATATATACCACATCTTCTTTATCTGTTCATCCATGGATGGACATTTGGGCTCTTTCCATACTTTGGCTATTGTGGATAGTGCTGCTATAAACATGGGGGTGCATGTGTCCCTTCGATACACCTGTATCCCGTGGATAAATGCCTAGTAGTGCAGTTGCTGGGTCGTAGGGTAGTTCTATTTTTAGTTTTTTGAGGAACTTCCATACTGTTTTCCAGAGTGGCTGTACCAGCTTGCATTCCCATATTATCAGATTATTATTAATTTGCTCTACATAGCCTGCCAGATTTTTTCTATGTGTAAACAGGTTTGTTATTGTAACAAAAATGGCATTAAAGTATACACATTTTTCAGCTCCCCCCCTTTTTAAAAATATATCTAATGTTTATTTAGTTTTGAGAGAGAGCAGGAGGGGGGTAGGAAGAGGGGGATGGGGGATCTGAAGCAGGCTCTGCACTGACAGCAGAGAGCTCAATGCTGGTCTCAAACTCGTGAACCACAAGATCATGACTGGAGCCTAAGTTGGAGGCTCACCCAGCTGAGCCACCCATGAACCCCAGCCCCTTGGTTTTTTTTGCCTAATGCTGTGTCATGGATATCTTTTCGTGTCAGTACACATAAGTGAACCAATTATTCTTAATGTGCATCTGGACATTTTTTTGTTTGTCTCCTCTCACAAATAGCATATCCACGAGCCTCCATGTACCTACATCACTAAGTACTTACGCACATGTTTCTGTGGAATAGAATGCCAGAAATAGAATTGAGGGGCTTTTAAATTTTCAGTGGATGACAAAGTGTCTTAAAGGACACTGTTTTATATCCCCACCAACTGTTGCCCCACACTTCTAATTTCAAAGGCAAGAAAAGAAAGAAAAGGAAGGAACATTTTACTGATTACAAAGGAGGCCGAACGTCATCTTATATATTGATTGACCATGTGTATTTCTCCTCTTAGTGGCTTCTTCATGTCCTTTGTCCATTTCCCCCACAATGGGTTGTCATTTTACTTACTTGTCCGTTAGAGAGCTTTATTTATTGTCGATGTTGACCTTTCGTTACAGATGTTGTAAATATTTTGTGCCCATGTTTTTTATAACTTTATTATTTCTTTTTTTAAATGCAGAAGTCTTTAATAAATGTAACTTTGAAAACATAAATAACATTTCAAAACAAAAATAGTAGGACTCGCAGTGGATATTCTGTCAATTTGCTTAACCTTCTCACTTGTTTTGCATAAGAACAGCCTCCAGAAAGGAGAATTGGGGTTTTCAGTTTCATTCAGAACTTCTCTTGATCTCTATTTTAAGTCTATCTTGAGTGCTTTTTTGAGTTTCAAAGGATCATCTACTTGGTGTTTAAGCCAGTACTGCTCTTTGCCTGTTTTTAGCTTAGTTTTGTTAACTAGGTATTTGATCTACTTACCACTCCAGGAGGGTTCTGTGAGTTCCTTAGAATAACCTGAAATACAGGGGTGCGTGGTTAAGCGTCCAACTTCAGCTCAGGTCATGATCTCATGGCTTGTGAGTTCAAGCCCCACATTGGGCTCTCTGCTGTCAGGGCATGGAGCCTGCTTCAGATCTTCTGTCCCACTCTCTCTCTGCCCTTCCCTCACTCGTGTGTGTGTGTGTGTGTGTGTGTGTGTGTGTGTGTGTATGCGCAATTGTATGTTCTGTCTCTCAAAAATAAATATATTTTTTAAAACTTTTAGGGGCACCTGGGTGGCTCAGTTAGTTGGGCCTCTGACCTCGGCTCAGGTTGTGATCTCATGGTCTATGAGTTTGAGCCCCACATCAGGCTCTGTGCTGACAGCTCAGAGCCTGGAGCCTGCTTTGGATTCTGTGTCTCCCTCTCTCTCTGCCCCTCCCCTGCTTGCACTCTGTCTCTCTCTCAAAAAAAATGAATAAACATTTAAAAGTTTTTTTTTAATTTTTAAAAAGAATAACATAAAATAAAAATCCTTCCTACAGGTAAGATGTAATATATTTTCTTTGGCTGCCAAGTTGTAATACTGGGGTTTTTTATGAATTTTTTTTTTCCCTTTTCCTTTTTCTTCTTTTTTTTTTTTTTTTTTTTAATTAGAGAGTGCAGGGATGGGAGAGGGGCAGAGGGAGAGAAAGAATCTTAAGCAGGCTCCATGTTCAGCCACACACTCCTGTAATATTGCTTTTTATAAAAATGCGTTTGAGGGGCACCTGGGTGTCTCAGTGGGTTAAGCATGTGACACTTGATTTCGGCTCAGGTCATGATCTCAGGGTTCATTAGATGGAACCCCACATTGGGCTCCATGCTGATGGCTCAGAGCCTGCTTGGGATTCTCTCACTCTCTCTCTCTGCCCCTATCCCCACCCCTCTCTCTCTCTCAAAATAAATAAATATTTTTAAAAATGCATTGAAATGCATAAAGAAATTGAACTCCTTATAAGAAGAACACAAGTAAATTTAAAACAGTCAGAAACAGCTCAGGGCTGTGTGTTTGCTTCCAAAATCTCCCAGGTTAGTGTCATCAGTCCTCATGTTTACCTGAGTGAGAAGTCACCAGAGAGCACATTTCAGAGCAAAGCAGTCTGGGTTTCAAAAACCCCCAACTGCCTGCCTCTCTGAGTCCCTCGACACTGTGATGGAAGCTGCTGGAGCAAGTCCACAGAGGTCCAAGCATGCCATTGAGCAGGTAGGTACAGTACATGCTGATGTCAAACTCAGTTTAGAAACTTTTTAAATCTTGGCAGATCCAGGTATCACACGGCCTCTTCCTCGATCTCTAAAGAGTCTCTGGCCAAGCGGCACCACTGAAGAGACCACCGTTAGACCCGCTCTGGGTCTTCCTCAGTGTCTCATCTGTGCGCCAAACCTCCCTAGTGCTATAATCCAGTGAAAAGAGCTCAGTATGGTATTTGGCATATAGTAGACACTCAGTAAGTTAAACTTGCATTTTCGTGTTGATTTGCATTTCTGTATTCATTTGAGGAGATGTTCACCATCATCGGTCTATGTAAATGCAAATCACACCACAATAAAATGCCACTTTGTACCCAGAAATACAGACAGTAACAAGTGTTGGCAAGGAGGCAGACGAATTCGAGCCCTCGTACATTATTCGATTGTGAAATGATACGGCCACTTTGGGAAACAGTTTGACAGTTGCCCAAAAGGTTAAAAAAGGAACTTCCCATGTGGCCTAGCAATCCCACTCCTTGGAATAGGCTCACATACGTCCACACTAAAACTTGCACAGTCGTGTTTGTAGCAGCATGATTCAAATAGTCAAACGGCCAAAAAGCAGAAACAACCCAAATGCCCATGATCCAACAAATGGATAAGTAAAATGTGTTATATTTGTTACATTAGCAACAAAAAAGAATGAAGCACTACAACATGGGTGAACCTTGAAAACATTACACCAAGTGAAAGAAACCAGGCACAAAAGACCACGTATTGTGATTCTATTTTATGAAATGTCCACAAGAGACAAATCTCTAGATGCAGAATGTAGATTGGTGGTTGTCTAGGGCTGGGGGGGGGGGGGGCATCGGGACAGGAGAATGGACAGAGACAGCTGGCTGCTGGGTACTTGGGTACTGGGTTTATTTTAGGGAGATGAAAATGATCTAAAATTAGATCATGGTGATGGTTGCACTGTAAATATACCAAAAAAACATTGACTTGTATACTCTAAGTGGGTGATTTGTATTGTGAATTGCATTGTAATAAAACTGTTTGTGAAAACCTCTCATAAGTAGGTCACAGGCAGGGGTGCCTGGCTGGCATAGTCGGTGGAGCATGCAACTCTTGATCTCCAGGACATGAGTGCCAGCCCCATGCTGGGTGTAGAGATTACTAAAAATAAATTTTTTTTAAAAAATTTTAAGTAGGTCTAGAGAAGCTTATATCATGGGACAAAGAAATATTTTCTTGGATGGCCCTGTTAGTTGATACAAAGGATGGCGAGTCTTTAGCCAGACTACAAATACTTTCTTTGGGTCCTTTGCAAAGAATGTCATCTTTCAGGGGCGCCTGGGTGGCTCAGTCGGTTAAGCGTCTGACTTCGGCTCAGGTCAAGATCTCACGGTTTGTGAGTTCGGGCCCCACGTTGGGCTCTGTGCTGACAGCTCAGAGCCTGGAGCCTGCTTCAGATTCTGTATCTCCCCATCTTTCTACCCCTCCCATGCTCATGCTCTGTCTCTCTCTGTCTCTCAATAATAAATAAACGTTAAAAAAAAAAAAAAAAAAGAATGTCATCTTTCAATATGTCACTGTCCAGGTCTTTGTCTTCCTTCCAACCCCTCCAAAACCATTATCCACAAAGGCCACATAGGTCACATGGTATTTCCTTCTCAATGCAGGTAGAAAATATGCTGGAAATGGCCTTGCTGGCCCTTGGGAAGATCAAGGGAACATTTCTACAGCAGAACCAGTTTTCTGAGTCTTTAGTGACTTCGACCTCTATCATTGCTTCTCTGATGCTGAGCAGGTAACAGAGGAGGAGGGGGAGAGTGGTTCATTTTAGGTTTCTGATCTTTAGAAAACACACAGAGGCTGATTTCCATTTAATTTCTCCTTCATTAGCCAAAACATGTCAACCTGGCCCCTGAGTTCCTATACTCTAGGGTCCCCAGCAGCTGTGAGGTTAGGCTTTCCAAGGGCTTCAGCTTTGGAAGAGCTCTTGAAGAGACAACCAGGATTTAATGTTCAAGTGAGTGTCAAATTGATTCTGACCCAAATGGAGTTGGGATTGATGGCTACAGGCGTTTGGATGCACCATGATACGTAAGCTGGCCAGACCAAATAAGAGAAGGCTGGGTGCCATGGATTTCTGTTTTACAATGGCTGAAGTGGAGGCCTCTTAAAAATGGAGGAGTGCCTGGGTGGCTCGGTTAAGTGTCTGACTCTTGGTTTCAGCTCAGGTCATGATCTCACGGTTCGTGAGATCAAGCTCCACATTGGGCTTTGCACTAACAGCACAGAGCCTGCTTAGGATTCTCTGTTTCCCTCTCCCTCTGCGCCTCCTTTGCTCATGTGCATGTGTGTGCTTGCTCTTGTACTCTCTCTCTCAAAAATAAATAAGTGAACATTAAAAAAAAAAATGAGCCACTGTAGAGGTGGGAAGCATTAAACAGACCTCTGGATTTAACTGAGTTTCTGTGTTATGGTTTGAATTGATCTCAACTTTTCACTATTTATATATGAAGCTAGGAATATCTGAATAAGTATTGACTCATTATACCAACTTATCCATATCAGTATATAGTGTATCTCTTTTGGCATTTACCTAACAAACAAGAGCAAGATTGCTGTCTTATCCTGGAGAGCAGAATACTTCCTTGCTAGTAATAATGAATCCTCCAGGTATAAAAATGTTAAAAAATAATAATTCTGAGGGTCACAAGTAAATGACTCATCTTTAATTCTTCCTCGTATGATGTTATAATGAGAAATATTATTTCAGTTGAGATATTAGCAAGGGGAAAATCCCAAGATTTACTTTGATTTCTGATATCTGATACATTATTACCTTTCGGAGTGTTAGGTAATAGATTTCAGCAATTGATGAAACAAATTTTCTTGTCTCTAGGTAATAGGACTAGCTTCAGTTCCTTCAGGGATTTTGATGACAACATTGTTGGAAGTATCGAAAGTGTGTTGCTAAGCTCTAATCATAAATTTTTCCAAGTCCATGATTTAGTGGAAGATATTGAGGTATGACTTCACTATAAAGGAATGAAATAGAAGGGAATAGGAATTCTTGGAGAATAGGATAGAAGGAAGCCATTTTAGATTCATGGCAGTGCCATTATTTTATTATTCACATCTTCACTTGGAAACTTTTACAAGAACTACCTTACCCTTAGGAGGTGTTTTAGGTTTGAGATTATATTCTCTCCCTTAATCCCTACAGATATTCATGGAGGAATACCTAGGAAGTTACATTCCATTATCACTAGAAAGGAGACTGAAAGGCATCAACAGATGAACCATCTTGAAGATTGGTTAACTGTCTCGTTCTAGATCATGCTGTGGAGAAATGTTAGCGTGGAAATCTATCCCACCAGCATCAACATGAGCTCAGACCATTTTGTTATGACAGTGAGCATCACTTCCCTGGAGAAATCCCTGATCGTGTGCATAGAACCTGAAAGTCCCCTTTTAATGACTCTCTACCTGGGGTTCCAGTATCAGCCTAACCACACCCACTTCAACCTGAACATCACCCTTCCAAAGAATCAGGTATGGCAAAAAGGTAAAACCCCAATCAGAAACTTACTTTGAAATGCATTTTTTTCTTCTTTTTCTTCAACTTTTTATTTTGAGATAACTTTAGATTCTCATGCAATTGTGAAAAATAAAAGAGCTCATACCTTTTACCCAGTTTCCCCTCATGCTGGCATCTTGCATAACTATACCACTATATCCTAACCAGAAAATGACATTGATACAAAGCATTGACCTTACTTGGATTTCATCAGTTTTACCTGTACTCCTGTATGTATGTTTATTCCATGTAATTTTATCACACGTGGGAATGTATATGACCATGAAACACATTTTTTTTTAAAGATGGATTGTGGAATGGATCCAGATATATATGTGATAAAGCAAATTTAGTAAAATGTTAATTCTAGAATCTGGTTAGTGATTAAATGGGTCAACTTTCCATATGGTTGAAACTTTGCATAATGTTGAGAAGTAAAATTCCTGCACATACACATATATTTCCAATTTTATTTCTAATCTTAGATTTGGGTCAGGCCAGAGATACCTCAGTAAATCTTGGTTTAATATCAAAATGACTACACTGTGGCTTAGAAAAGTGAAGAATTTGAGACATATATAAAAAGTTAAGAATTTCTGAGATACATAAATAGTGCCTTAGATGTACTTGACCAAAAAACATATTCACTGGATTTCAACTTTAAATGTTGTACTGGGGCGCCTAGGCATCCGACTTCAGCTCAGGTCATGATCTCGCATTTCGTGAGTTCGAGCCCTGCATCGAGCTCTGTGCTGACAACTTGGAGCCAGTAGCCTGCTTCGGATTCTGTGTCTCCCTCCCCCTCTCTCTCTCTGCCGCTCCCCCACTCATGCTCGCTCTCTCTCTCTCTCTCTCTCTCTCTCAAGAATAAACATTAAAAATCAATTTATTGTAATACTGAAGAATCTTAATAAAGAGCTACTGTTTGCATTTAAAAAATGTGTGGAGGAGTGGCAATAACCATGTTATAAAATATAAAGCATGTTATAATCCCCTCTCATTACAGTCTTCTCATGTTGAACAAGCTTCTGGCTGTTTTGTAGGCCTCGCTAACATGAATGATCACTTTTTAGGTGATTCCTGCTCTTAGACACAGTACCTGAGGCAGCACCTTTCATCCTGGGCTCCCAGGTATAAAGTTCTGTCTGTGTTACAGACAAGCTCTTTCCGACTCAGAACATGCGCCCCATTTGCCTTGCCAGTCGTGGCAATATCATGTCCCTTGGGGATCTTAGACATCCTCTGGTCTGGAGACTTTGTCGGAAAGATGAGAACATTAAGGAGATGGTGTGACTTGCCTTAGCCCTTAATAGCCATCTGGTGACAGAGCTGGGCCTCGAATCAGGGCTCTTTCCTGGAACCACACTCTTCCCATCCTTGCTTCGTTCTTGGGCTTCTTCTTTTAGCTCCGTCTTGTAGCTACTCGTTTGGGTGTGTGATTCATTCATTTTTCTAAAACTCATCATATATTCTGACTCATTAGACCTAAATCTTCATCTGTCAAAAGAACACAGCTATTTATTGGAATGGGAGAAACTCAGAACCCCAGGTTGTGCAACTGGTCATTTTCTTGAAAGTCATTTGTAATTCTAAACTTAGTCCTTTCCCCACTTGTAAAATAATGATAATAATAACAATAGATCCTTCAGAAGGAGCGTTCTGATAGTAATTTTGTCCCATTGGAAATGCAAGTAAGCCCTGTTCTTTGTTCTCAGATGAGGAATGTACAGGGGTGCTGGCTCCAGAGAGTCTGCAGTATGGGAGCAGCGCCTACTACACAACAGCTGTGCTGAATAAAAGCCAGTAGAGTGCCCAGCGCACACCCACCCTGCTCTAGGCGGCAACTGCCGTCACTCGCTGTCATTTCTGGGACAGCCACAACAGCACGTGGGAGACCATAGCGTGCCAAGTAAGAAGCCACACACTTCTCTTTCTCTTCTGCCCCAGCTGGCATGAAATGCAGAGCATCTGTTACCTCATTTGAGGGGCCCAGAAAGAAAAAGCATCAGGAGGGAGAGAAATCGGCCTGGCAAAAAAGAAGATTGCATGTAGCAGGCCAGGAAAGTGTGTCTCTTCGGAGCAGGCTTACACTTTATATTTGTTATTTGCTTCTCAAATATTCAGTCCAGGGTGAATCTGACAGTTCTAGATAAAAGAAGCAGTACGTAGGGGTGTCTGGCTCAGTCAGTTAAGCGTCTGACTCTTGATGTCAGTTCAGGTCATGATCTCCCAGTATGTGAGTTTGAGCCCTGCATTGGGCTATGCGCTGATGGCACAGCGCCTGCTGGGGATTCTGCCTCTCCTTCTCCCTGCTCCTCCCCAGCTGTGCATGCTCACGCGCGCGCTCTCTCTCTCTCTCTCTCTCTCTCTCTCTCTCAAAATAAATAAACTTTATTTTTTTTTTCAACGTTTATTTATTTTTGGGACAGAGAGAGACAGAGCATGAACGGGGAGGGGCAGAGAGAGAGAGGGAGACACAGAATCAGAAACAGGCTCCAGGCTCTGAGCCATCAGCACAGAGCCTGACGCGGGGCTCGAACTCCCGGACCGCAAGATCGTGACCTGGCTGAAGTCGGACGCTTAACCGACTGCGCCACCCAGGCGCCCCAAAATAAATAAACTTTAAAACAATTTTTTAAAAAAGCAGTAGGTGGACTCTGTTAAATTCTGCAAGTGTTAAATATGTTGCGGGTAAAAGTAAACAAATTTCCTGCTTAATTAAAGAGAGCTTTTGTAAAAATAAGCTGGCAGATTCTTGTACATTCCAGGCGAGGTGGGGACTTTTCTCATTGTCACCTCGTTCCAGGGGTCTGCTCACTTTAAAATGGCACCCTGCATTTTCGCACGGGTGATTCTGTGTGATCCCATCTGGTTTAAGTCCTGGTTCAGTTGCACCAAGACCTTGGTGTAAAGTTCTGGAAATAATGAGGCTGTTGGTTAAGAGCTGAGAGAGGGTCATTCACATGTGAAGAGAGGAAAAGAGGATGCTGTGGAAGGCAGCTGCGCCATTCGTGGCCTCGGCAGGGATTTCGGAAGAGCTAGAGCAGAGCCTCTCGAGCAAATCCTCTACCTGGGAGTCCCTTAGGTTGCAGTTTCTGGTGAAATAAATTGGGGCAAGACCTGAGTGGCCTTTCTAACAAGCCCCCTGCACAACGCTGGGACCCTATGTGAGGAAGAGAGCTGCCGAGAGCAGGATGACAGTTAGAGGGTGAGAGATAGACCCGGCACCCAGAACTTAACCTTGTGCCTTGGAAAGCAGCCAGTCATACTGACAATATTTGAAGCTTTTTATCTGCACAATCGAACGTGGAATTGGTAATTTTCATTTGATTGCCTAGTAACATTTTTAAAAATACATATTTTTTAAAGTTTATTTATTTTGAGAGAGAGAACACGTGCGAGCACAAGTGGGGGAGGGGGAGAGAGAAGAGAGAGAATCGCCAACAGGCTCCATGCTGTCAGCACAGAGCCCGACTCTGGGCTCAAACCCACACACCTCGAGATCATGACCTGAGTTGAAACCAAGAGTCGGACGCTTAACTGACTGAACCACCCAGGTGTCCCTGAAGATACTTTTTTGTGAAGAAATGTTACAACATGTGGAAGTTATAAGGAAGTTATAGGGAATAATATAATAAAAAAATTAAATACTCTGGCTTTATCGCAAAGTTGGTATTTTGCTCTGTATAGTTCAGATTTTTTTATAATAATAAAACACTCTGGAATAATCAAAGCCCTCTATGTATCTGCGTCCAGTCTTGTTTTCTCCCACTTACCAAAGGGCGACCACTGTCCTGAACTCAGCATTTGTACTGATTGCTTCAGCACATATTTACTGGGCATCTTCTACGCACCAGGCCCATATCTGGGAACTACAGATACAGTGATGGACAAGACAGTGTCCTCCTGAGCTTACGTTCCAGGGAGGGAGACTGACAAACATAGATACGACAGTGTTGTTTTGCATGCTTTTGGTCTCTTTGTAAATGGCATCATCTATACCGTATCCTCCTTTAATTTGTTTTTTTCACTCAGCATTTATCCACGTTGCTATATCTAGCTCTGACAATTTCTTTTTTCTTAAAGGGGAAGTTGTCTCTTTATTTTATTTATTTATTTTTTATTTTTGAGAGAGAGAGCATGAGTGGGGGAGGGGGCAGAGAGAGAGAATCTCAAGCAGGCTCCATGCTGTGAGTGCAGAAGCTGACTGGGGCTCAAACCCGTGAATCATGAGATCATGACCTGAGCTGAAATCAAGAGTCAGACGCTCAACTGACTGAGCCCCCCCAGAAGCCCCTCTACCTCATTCATGTTAACTGCTGTAGATTACTCCATCAGCACGCAGTAGGAGTCCTCTACTTGTTTGTTTGTATGTTCTGCTGTTACTGGACATATATATAGGTTGTTTCCAATCTTTTTTTTTTTTTTAACGTTTATTTATTTTTAAGACAGCATGAATGGGGGAGGGTCAGAGAGAGGGAGACACAGAATCTGAAACAGGCTCCAGGCTCTGAGCTGTCAGCACAGAGCCCGACGCGGGGCTCGAACTCACGGACCGCAAGATCACGACCTGAGCCGAAGTCAGACACTTAATCGACTGAGCCACCCAGGCGTTCCATCCAATCTTTTAGTTATGAACAATGCTGACAGAAACCTTTCTCATGTCTCCTTGTGCACATGTGCAGAGTTCCCCAAAGATGTGGGTTCAGACCTGGAATGGTAGGATTCAGAGAATTTGTGCTTCTCCAGGTTTGCTAGAGGTTTCCCGATTGCTCTCCACATACACTATTTTACATGACCCCCAGTGGTAAATACACGACCCGGGCATTGTTTTCCCTCCGTAAATTGCATGTGTTTGTGTTTTATGTTTGTCCCTGCCTTAGCACTCTGTTCAGTTAGAATCAATATCTTGATTCTAATTGCAGGTTGGGCCACAGAGTACAGTTTTGAGGAGACAGTAACTGCCAGAGGTCACTGTAACTGCCTGACCTACTTTGGCAGCAACTTCTTCACTGTGCCCCGGATGGTGAACATTGAAGACACTATCAAGCTGCTCCTTCATGTGACCACCAACCCTGCTGGGGTGTCATTGCTAGCCAGCCTTTTAGGATTCTATATGCTCACCTTTGTGCGGGCTTGGAGGAAGGATCAAACATACATGCAGAAGGTGACAGTCATGACTTTGATTCCAAAAGCTTTGCATAGTGTCTTGAGTAGGTGGAACAAGATGGAAAAACAACAACAACAACAACAACAACAACAACAACAACAAACCTTCACCAGAAGAGGCAGGTAGAGTGGTAGGAATTCTCGGTGGCATAGGAATTCGAGTGCGACTTTTTTCTTAAATTTCTCTTCACGTTTCCTGTCTCAGGGCTTCGCAATTTAACTCTTTATGTTCTTTTTTTTTTTTTTCTTTAGCAGAGGTTGAACTCTCATATGATTCATTTAAGTTAGGAATAAGCCCGAACATCTAGAGAACTTAAAATCAAATGGAAGTTTATCTCACTTTATACATTGGATGTGAAAGTCAGGTGTAAGTAAAATTAGAATTCCATGTAACTGCAATATAGAAAAAACCTGTATGGAATCTCATTTTGGAACAACAGCAACAACAAATCTTCTGATGACAGCCTCTTGTTAATTTCTGTTCCATGCATTCCTTATTCTTATGTGTTCTTACACTTGGGGATTCTAGAATACACGCCGTCCATTTCTTTCTAGCCATGGGTATAGAGTTGCCAGTTTTAACAAACAAAAATATAGGACACCCGGTTAAATTTGAATTTTATGTAACTCATGCATTTTTAGTACTTCTGTTCCCAAGTGATTCATTGTTTACCTGAAATTCAGGTTTAACTAGGTGTCCTCTATACCGTGTGATCACCCTACCTGGGCGGGTGGGAGGTGGAAGGATTTCTAAGGCCAAGACCTGATCAGCTGATTCTATGAATATTTCATTTCACAGGCATCAACCCAGGACTTGAGCCCTCATCCCCTGCTTCATCACTTAGGTCTCTTGTTTGTTTATCTTGTACCCGCACGTCACCCTTGATGTTCACCGAGGTGCCAAAGCTGGAGCCGTGCATCCTCCTGCTTCTTAGCTGGAGGAAGCAGTGTCTACACTAGGTGAAGATCCTTCTTGGTTCTGCTGTTCCTACAGGTGAAGGTCACTGTCCTGGCTGATAATGACCCCAGCTCTGTTTCACTACCTCCTGCAGGTCTCCACTGGCTATCGAAGAAGGGCCGCGATGCCAGCTAAGCTTAACAAAATGAATGTTCTTCACTCCTTGCCTTCTGTCTCCTATCGCCCGAGATGTGCCCTGACCCAGTGATGCCCCGGTGTCCAGGAGCACTTACGAGAGTAGCTCCTAGTTCTACACTGGACATCGGCAGAGTCTGCCATACTTGCCCAACCCCCCAAAGACTTCATCTCAGTACAACTCTATCTTCCCCCTTGTCCTTAGGGATAAACCCCAAGAATCCTCTGAGAGCTTCCTGCATTTTATCTTTGCTTATCATGTTTTAGGTGGTCATCACCCTCTATGGATCAGAGGGGCAGAGGGAGACCCATCACCTTTGTGACCCCGAGAAGGCAGTCTTTCTTTGAGCCAGAGCGTCTGGAAATCTTCCTCCTCAGTACTCAGTCCTCTTGAGGGGAACTGCACAGCCTGTGGTTCTGGCATGACGATTCGGGGGCCAGCCCTTCTCGGTAAGTGCCTGCGTCAGGCTGCCTTGGCCTTTCTCCTCCGTGGATCTGCGGCGTTCTGGGCAAGACCAGCATGCCATCACAACAAATGACAATAATGCTTTGGGCCAAATTGTAACCAATGACTGTTAGATTTAAATTTCAAAGCTCAGGGTGCCTGGGTGGCTCAGTCAGTTAAGCATCCAACTTTAGCTCAAGTCATGCTCTTACAGTTCATGGGTTCAAGCCCTGCATCGGGCTCTGTGCTGACAGCTCAGAGCCTGGAGATTTTCTCAGATTCTTTGTCTCACTCTCTCCCCCTCCCCGGCTCGTGCTCTCTCTCTGTCTTTCAAAAATGAATAAACATTAAAAAGAAAATATTTAAAAAATAAAATAAAATAAATTTCAAAACATTTACAAAGAAGAAACCCTGCAAAGAAATATGGGAAGTTAACAATATAATTTTGTATGGGTGATTAAGTGATGGGTGGTTTTTTTCTTTTATCTTCATTTAATATTGTCATGATTGTAAAAACAGCAAATAACAACCACTTACTGCCCCAAAGTGTTATAAATTAAAAGTACCTATAAACTTGAAAAAAGATCTTTCAAGATTAAATGTAATGAATGACTATTCACTAAGTATACTTGAGGTAAAAATTAAGAGCTTGAAGGAAAGAATAGAAGAATCATGTTATGGGATGTGCCCAGGGGGCTAGAGAGGGAAAAGGTCAGTGATGAGTGCATGAACCTGATGTGTGCGAGGTCCACATGACCTGTTTTTCTCCAGCAGCAGGTGGAGTGAGAAGAGGTGGGTGGAGAGAGTAATGGTGAAATTAACTAAGGACCAAGATGATTGGTTGTTTGGGGTTTGGGAAAAAGAAGGGAATGAAGTCAAAGGTCTAAGGCCCAGGTGTTCAAATTGTTGCTAAATATTGTCCACCTGAAAAGTGTGTACAGCTTGCCTGTTTGTCAGCAAAATGAGTCTTTCCCTGCTATGCTAGACCACTAGGCCAGTAGAGTCTAATAATTTGCTTGCTGTCCCCACTCTGTTCAGGCATCTAACAGAGCAGCTTGTACACTATCATTCCAGTTTGATTATAATGGTGAATAATGTGTAATAAGTACTTGAAGAAATGCTTGACTTTGCTAGTCATCAAGGAATGCAAAGTAAAGCCACAGTGAGAGCACTAAACATCCACCAGAATAACTAGAATTAAAAAGTCTGACAAAACCAAGTTTGGGTGAAGTTGGAGGCAACTGGGACTCACAAGCAATGCTGGGAGCACAAAACAGTGCAGCCACGTGGGAGAACAGTTTGGCAAGGCTTGTAAAGTTGAATAGACCTTTACCATCTGACCCAGAAATTCCACTCCCAGGTATTCACCCAAGAGAAATGAAAACATATGTCCATTGCAAAATGTATACACATTCGTTCATAGCAGTTTTACTAATAGCTGTTCAAAACTAGAAACAACACATAAAAAATTTTTTTAAAAAACTAGAAACAACACAAGTGTCCATCAGGTGAATGAATAAGCAAGTATTAGCATGTTCATTTAATGGAATACTACTCACCAACAAAAAGAACAATCTACTGATACACACAGTGACATGGATGAATCTCAAAAATGTTATGCCAAGCAAAAGAAGCCAGAACAAAAGAAAACATGCTGTATGATTCTACATATATGAAATTCTAAAACAGGCAAACTAGTGCAAGAGACAGAAAGCAGATCAGCGGCCACCTGGGGCCAGGGGTGAGTCTGAGGGGGGTTGACTGCAAAGGGACACAAGGGGACTTTTGGCGGTGATAGCTTGGCAGTGGCGGTACTTACACAAGTGTTCACATTATGAAAAATGTGTTGGACTGGGGGTTCCTAGATGGCTCAGTTAGAAAAGTGTGCAACTCTTGATCTCGGGGTTGCGAGTTTAAGCCTCATCTTGGGTGTGGAGGTTGCTAAAATAAATTAAAGACCTAAAAAACTGTACTGAACTGTACCTTTTATTCATGTTTTTAAGTAGACTTCACAGGCAGAGCAGAGACCAGCATGGGCTCAAAACCCTGAGATCAAGACCTAAACTGAGATCAAGAGGTGGGCACTTAGTCACCTGAGCCACCCAGGCACCCCTTGACCTGTATGTTCAAATGGGTGCCTTTTATCATATGTAAATTATACCACAATAAAGTTTTTGTTTTGTTTTGTTTTGTTTTGTTTTGTTTTGTTTTGTTTTGTTTTGTTTTTGGTACAGCACCAGTGGGGGAAGGACAGAGGGAGAGGAAGAGAGAGACTCTCAAGCAGGCTCCCTGCCCAGCGCAGAGCCTGACATGGGGCTCAATCTCACAACCTTGAGATTATGATCTGAGCCAAAATCAAGAGTCGGATGCTTAATGAACTGACCCACCCAGGCACCCCCACAATAAATTTTTTTAAGTATGCATGTAGAAAAAATTCTAGAATTATATATACTAAGTATTACCAATAATTATCTCTGAGTACTAGGCTTATAAATTTTAAAATTGTTTCTTCATATTTTTAGATATTTTCAAAAAAATTTTAAGAGTGTATTTATTTTGGGAGAGAGCGGGGAGGGGCAGTGAGAGCGGGAGAGAGAGAATCCCAAGCAGGCTCTGTCCATGCTTTCATCACAGGGCTTGATGGGGGCTCGAACTCACAAACCATGAGATCACGATCTGAGCCAAAGTCGGACACTCAACCGACTGAGCCACCCAGGCGCCCCTGCATTCTGGTTTTGATACATGAATTCTCTTAGAGGTTGCAAAGGAAGAAATTGGATCAGCTTTTGTTTCTTTGTCTAGTTCTTGCCTCACAATGAAAAGAATCCATTTACTGATAGTGCAAGATTACTTCTTGTTACAACAACTGGTTCATGCCCACCTCCCTACCATGCTTATCTTCATTTTACTATAGGTATGGAAACCGGGTAATTGCCAGTGATGTGGCAGGTAAAAGGAAATGGCACTTCCTGTCCAACTGTTGGCTGGCCATGGACCTTGGAGAGATTGAGCATGACCGGGTCTTCAAACCAGTCTCAAAGAAAGAACTCTTTTCCTTTAGGTATTGGTGGGGAAATGGTGGTGTTCCACAAGTCTCTGAGGCTCTGTTCATTTTTCTTCATCCTCCGTTGCTCAGACTGGATAATTCCAATTGACCCATCTTTGGGTTTCTGCTTCTTTTTTCTGCCTGCTCAGATCTGCTGTAGAGCCTTTCATTTCACTTAATGTATTTTTCAACTGCAAACTTTCTGTTTGGTTCTTTTAAAAAAATAATTTTTAGGGATGTGTGGGTGGCTCAGTTGGTTGAGTGTCCAACTTCAGCTCGGGTCATGATCTCATAGCTCATGAGTTCGAGCCCCACGTGGGGCTCTCTGCTGACAGTGCAGAGCCAGCTTGGGATCCTGTCTCCCTTTCTCTGCCCTTCCCCCATTTGCAGTCTGTCTCTCAGAAAAAAACATTTTAAAAATAATAATAATAATTTCTGTGTGTTTATTGATATTTTCTATTTGGGAAAACACCATTCTCATTTACTTTCCTTTAGTTCTTTAGACATAGTTTCCTTTAATTCTTTGAACACATTTAAAATAGCTGATTTAAAGGCTTTTTCTAGTGTATCCAGTGTCTTGGCTTTCTCAGGGACAGTGTATTGATTACTCTGTGTGTGTGTGCCTGTGTGTGCGCGCACACACACACACACACATACACAAGCCATACTTTGTTGTTTTTTAGTGTCTTGTGATCTTTTGTTGAAAACTGGACATTTTATTATTTAAAAATTCTTTTTTTAATCTTTATTTATTTTTGAGAAAAAGAGACAGAGTGTGAGTGGGGGAGAAACAGAGAGAGAGGGAGACACAGAATCCAAAGCAGGCTCCAGACTCCAAGCTGTGAGCACAAAGCCCAACACGGGGCTTGAACCCACCAACCACGAGATCATGACCTGAGCTGAAGTCAGACGCTCAACCAACTGAGCCACCCAGGCACCCCAAAAACTGGACATTTTAAATAATAGAATGTGGCAACTCTGGAAATAAGATTTTCTTCCCTTTCCCTGGGATTTGTTGTTCTCTAACACAAATTTGTTGTTGTTGTCTGTTTCATGACTTCTCTGAATGAATTCTGTATCCTTTGTCATGGCGTGCAGCTGAAGTGTCTGCCCAGTTAGTCTGGAGGTCAGCTAAAGTTTGGATAGTGATTCCTTAAACACCTGGAGCCAGTAAGTCTCCCGGTCTTTGCCAAGGGGATTTGTGTGCATGTTGTGTCATACCCTCAGCCCTCAGCAAGGCACCGGCCAGCTCTGCCTTGGTCTTCACTTCCTGCTTGCTGAGAGCCTCAATATCATGCAGGGGTGAGGGCTCAGGACGTTCTCTGGCATCTCCTGAGCCCACACACAGCCCTGGATTCCCAGCAGTTATGTCAGAGCTTTCAAAACTCCTGCAGACTTCTTGTTTCCCAGTTTCTTTTCAGTTTTTTGGTTAGCCTGTTGTTCACCCACCATGGCAGGCAGCTATGAAGGTAAACAGTTGCCTCTGAGTATATTTTTAAAATTTTTGTTAATGTGTATTTATTTTTGAGAGAGACACACACACAGAACATGAACAGGAGAGGAGCAGAGAGAGGAGACACAGAATCCAAAGCAGGCTTCAGGCTCTGAGCTGTCAGCACAGAGCCCAACACAAGGCTCGAACTCAGGAACCGTGAGATCGTGACCTGAGCTGAAGTTGCCACTTAACCCACTGAGCCACCCACGTGCCCCGCCTCTGAGTATTTTTCACAGTGCCCTCAGGGGAAAAGTTTTTCGAAGCTAGTGAATACCCAGTCAGGTCAAGTAAGGACAGCCTTGCAAGTGGGGTTTTCCTGGGAACTACCAGACAGCTCAGATCATCACAGTTCTCTGGGAAGGAGACCTTAAAGGAGCTCCAGTCCTGTTCTGCCTTCTTTTTAGTGGCCCCTGGCTTTCTCTGTGATTAAAGGCTGTCAGGTCACCGTAGAGCTAGAGAAAGGGAGATGGGAACAGGGCAAGTGACAATGCCACAGAGATAACTGCTTTTACTGATACTCATTCATTTTTCATTTTTCTTTTTTTTTAGTTTTGTTTTTTATTTTTTAAAACTTACATCCGATTTAACATATTGTGAAACGATGATTTCAGGAGTAGATTCCTTAGTGCCCCTTACCCATTTAGCCCATCCCCCCTCCCACAACCCCTCTAGCAACCCTCAGTTTGTTTTCCATATTTATGAGTCTCTTCTGTTTTGTCCCCCTCCCTGTTTTTATTTTTGTTTCCTTCCCCTTATGTCCATCTGTTTTGTCTCTTAAAGCCCTCACATGAGTGAAGTCATATGATTTTTGTCTTTCTCTGACTAATTTCACTTAGCATAATACCCTCCAGTTCCATCCACGTAGTTGCAAATGGCAAGATTTCATTTTTTTCAATTGCCGAGTAATACTCCATTGTGTGTATATATACCACATCTTCTTTATCCATTCATCCATCGATGGACATTTGGGCTCTTTCCATACTTTGGCTATTGTGGATAGTGCTGCTATAAACATGAGGGTGCATGTGTCCCTTCAAAACAGCACACCTGTATCACGTGGATAAATGCCTAGTAGTACAATTGCTGGGTCATAGGGTAGTTCTATTTTTAGTTTTTTGAGGAACGTCCATACTGTTTTCCAGAGTGGCTCACCAGCTTGCATTGCCACCAACAATGCAAAAGAGATCCTCTTTCTCCGCATCCTTGCCAACATCTGTGGTTGCCTGAGTTGTTAATGTTCGCCATTCTGACAGCCATTTTAATGACTATATGTTTCAGTTATAAGATTTCTAATTAATTTTATTTCTGTTTCTCAGAATTTTTTATTCTTTTTAAGGGAATGCTATGCCTTGATTCATCTCTTTGAGCAACCTGAAATACTTAGTTTGAAGTCTTTGTCAGACTGTCCCATAAAATTAATTTCTTCAGGACTGAATTATTGATTGTTTTGGTTGCCTTTCTCTGCATTTGATTTCTTCCTGAGTTTAGGAATTTGGGATCATAAGTTTATTTGGGGGGGGGTATTGTTAAATTTCTTTCTCTATCCCTCATCCCTGACTAGTAGTCTTGTTGCTGTTTCCATGTAACTCTTCACATGGCTAGTCTAGAATTAGGCCTTATTATATTACAGTATTTTGTATCTCCTATTCCTCAGTGGAATTGACAAAACTAGGGCTCTTGCAGATTTTGTCTGGAACGAGTGGATTTCTTGGCTCAATTCCTGGTTATGGGGCTGTCCTTTTTCCGCCCACCTCCTTACCCATAAATTGGCAGTTTATTGTTCTGTAGTCTCCCTTCATGAGCTCCAGCCTGAATCTGGGCTCCAAGCAGTGAAGTTGGCTTCATTCTCCCTACCCCACCCTATGAAATACTTTCATTTCCAATTACCTTGGAAGAACCAAACTCCTGCCTGCATACTGCTTTCTTCTGGAGCCCAGAAATCTTCCCTGCTCATCTCCATGGTTTTTTTTCATTCCATTTCTCCTCCTCATAGATGTTTATCTTGTTTTGAAACCCTGCCAATATTTTTGGCTCTTCCTTTTTTTCTTTTAAATGTTTGTTTATTTATGTTGAGAGTGTGTGCATGCATGCAGAGAGAGGGAGAGGGAGAATCTGAGGCAGGCTCCACACTGTCAGTGAAGAGCCTGATGTGGGGCTGAATCCCACCACTGTGGGATCATGACCTGAGCTGAAATCAAGAGTCAGTCACGTAACCAACTGAGCTAACCAGGCGTGCCTTTGGTTATTTCTTTTTTTTTTTTTTTTTTTAGTTTTTTTTTTTTAACATTTATTTATTTTTGAGACAGATAGAGACAGAGCATGAGCAGGGGAGGGTCAGAGAGAGAGGGAGACACAGAATCCGAAACAGGCTCCAGGCTCTGAGCTGTCAGCCCAGAGCCCGATGCGGGGCTCGAACTCACGGACCGTGAGATCATGACCTGAGCCAAAGTTGGACGCCCAACCGACTGAGCCACCCAGGCGCCCCTGGTTATTTCTTTTTATGCCTTATTTATAGTTCGTCCACATTTGGAGAAGAGAAGGGGCTCAAACTATAAATTTACCAAACTATGTTGAGTGGAAGCCCAATGCAAACTTGTGAAGAGTAAAAGATTTATCAAAACTCTTAGACAGCTAAAAGAACCGTTGTTTTTTTTTTTTTAAGTTTATTTATTTTAAAGAGACAGAAAGCACAAGTTGGGGAGAGGCATAGACAGAGGGCAAGAGAGAGAATCCCAAACAGGCTCCTCACTGTCAGTGCAGAGCCCAATGCAGGGTTCGAACCCATAAACCATGAGATCATGACCTGAGCCAAAGTCAGACACTTAACACACTGAGCCACCCAGGCACCCCGCTCAGCACTTCTTGTTGGACTGTGCTCAGTTCTTTATATGCTCACCACAGTCCTGTGATCTGGAAAATATTATTAGCCCTTGTTTTATGGATCAGGAAACTGAGGTTTGGAGAAGTTAAATTAATTTTACTGAGATCGAGGGGACAATATGTTTCAGGTTTAAAAGAACTGTTTTTAATTTTAAACTCTCATACAATATAAATTAACCTTATCCTTGACAACCTTTTGTCCTAAAGCTACAAAAGAATCATGTTGCCATGAATTTGAAAGTCTTCATAGAGGTGTTGGATACTTGCCTAGTTGTTGGTGTAAGCGTGTTGCCGGGCAAACCGCCCCTTAGTCTAGGATGCTGTCGGAATGAAGTCTCACTTCTGTCCTTTTCTAATTTCTCTTAGACACCTGTTTTCCTCCATGATTGTAGGAAAGCTCACCCAGGATCATCTGTGGCTCAGAGAACCAGTTTACAAGAGTCCAGAGGCTCTCTTGCTGCATGACCTTGCTTCTGTGCGACATGGTCGTCAACGTCATGTTCTGGAGGAAAACTGGCACCACTGCCCAGAGAGATGAGCAAGGTATGGGTGGGCCCGATGTGTAGCCTTTGTAGTGTGTAATCCTCTTAAAGTACTGCACTCTTCTTGCTTGCAGGGTCAGAAACACAATCCTGATGTGCCTTTGTTTTTTCCTTCGCTACTCTAACACTTGAATACTCTTAACAGGTTTCCTCACGGTTCCCATTCATTAGTGAATGAAGCAGCCTTAGGAACATATTGGGATCTTTACTGCCATGAAGATGTCCTGTCCTTAGATAGTCATGGTTAAATTGCCAAACAGATGGCTAAAGCTAGGAGAGGAAGGAGTCTGAGATGATTTCAGCTCTTGAGGATACAGGTTGACGTGATGTTCTTCTTCCAATGGGTCCATTGCTATGACCTGGTCCCAACTGTTCATCAGCATCCAAACTGCTGTCTTCCTCTTCCCTGTCAGTCTCGTAATCGGGAGGCTCTTCCTGCTGATCTAGCCTCAGGAACCCCTGCCTCTTTTTCCTTCCGACCAGGCTTCCTGCCTCTCAGATGCTCCTTGTGAGCCTCTGTCTCACAGAGGTGACTGAAGTAAGCTTGGTATCTAACTGTATAGGTAGATGCTGGGCCCTGTTTCCCCATGTAGCAGGAAAGGCCAGCAGAGGGGATCTCCTGGAAGGCTCATGGGGTCCTATTAATCTTGATAGCTTTTCCCTAATTTCTGTCCTCTGGGCCACAATGCATCATGCCCCTTGTTTCTCCTCTTTTTTTTTTTTTAATGTTTATTTATTTTTGGAAGAGAGAGAGAGTGAGCGGGAGTTGGGGCATAGAGAGAGGGAGACACAGAATCTGAAGCAGGTTCTAGGCTCTGGGCTGTCAGTACAGAGCCCGATGCTGGACTTGAACTCACAAACTGCGAGATCATGACCTGAGCTGAAGTCGGACACTTAACCGACTGAGCCACCCAGGCACCCTTTTGTTTCTCCTCTTAATGGTGAAGTATTGTGAGGACAGGATGTGAATGCAGAAGGTACTATTCTGGAATTTTCATTTTTGATGTTTGAGCAAATGGTCCAATCTTTCATTCTGTATTCTCCTAAAACTAGTTTTATTTTCTTTTTTTAAATTTCTATTTTAGGGGAGCCTGCGTGACTCAGTCGGTTAAGTGTCCGACTTCAGCTCAGGTCATGATCTTGCCAATCGTGGGTTTGAACCCCATGTCAGGCTCTGTGCTGACAGGTCAGAGCCTGGAGCCTGCTTCAGATTCTGTGTTTCCCTCTCTCTCTGCCCCTCCCCTCTTCATGCTTTGTCTCTCTCTCAAAAATAAACAAACATTAAAAAAAGTTTTTAAATAATAAATTAATAAATGTTTATTTTGAGACAGTGTAAGTGGGGGAGGGGCAGAGGGGGGGAGGGAGAGACAGAGAGAGAGAGAGGGAGAGACATAGAGAGAGAGAGAGAGAGACCAAGAAAGAGAGAGAGAGAGAGACTGACTTTCAAGCAGGCTCCACACTCAGCATGGACCCCGACCCAGGACTTGATCTCACCACCATGAGATCATGACCTGAGCTGAAATCAAGAGTCGGACACTTAAACAACTAAGCTACCTAGGTGGTCCTCCTAAAATTAGTTTTGAAGCTACTGTGAGGTGACGTATTTCTGAAAAAGGAGAAAGAAAATGAAAAATGGAGGCTCTTCCCACTAAGTATTTGCCTCTCCTAGTCAAGGGACAACCTCACCATCTATAACCGCGACCAGTCCTGGGTGAATGTAAAACTGACTTTTCTCCTTTTGGTTCCATATTCAGGAATTAAAGGAGACTGTGGGATTCCTACTCTGGAGAAATATGTACCTACTCTAAGAGTTGGAACAACCTTTATGGAGTCCTTCCAACATTAACAAGCAGGTGAAGCTTTTACCCAGCCTCCTCTGTTCTCATGTAGCAGGTCACGGCTCTCATCAGCGGGCAGGACCCCATTGGGTAAACGGTAAACTTCCGCAGGTTTTAGTAACTGATCTGTTATCTACCTCCTCCCTTGCTTGCCTCTTGCTTATCCTTCCTACCTCTCAGCATGACCAACAGGCACGGTACAGCCTTCTGCTTGACCCAGCTTCCTTAGGCTTCCAGTAGAGCTTTTAAGAAAATAGATCTGGTGAAACAAAGTAAAGGATTAAGGAAGAGCCCACAAAAATGCCCTCAGACCCCCCCCCATATTCCATCTGCTTTGTTGGGGGCTCTTGAAACATGTCATTCTTTTTCTTCTGTTGGAATGGTGACATTATGTGATCTATGGATTCTTGAATATAATTGGGGCCTCCTGGGCACTTATCTAATATAGTTGTACATGTACTGTGGTTCTGGTGAAAAAGCCCAGTTAGGTTTAAATTTTTATTTACTTCTAGAGCAAAAGTTGTTTTTATTCTGGATCACAGTGTAGAATTTTAGAAATTGTTACCAGCTGGCCAGGATGATCAGAGAAGACAATACTGATTGTGGTCTAATCTCCAGTGACTGGGCAATTTAACCTCATCATCAACGAGTGAGATGCTAATCTCTACCAGTTAATTACTATCTCCCGAAGTCTCCCACTTGCTGAAGTGTGAACCTCGGCCTGTATTTTCAATGGTTCCTGAAGGCCAGCATCATTTCTGTCATTACCTGCTCAGAGTTCTGCAGAGGCTTCAATCTCACTTAAGCACACTGGGTCCCACTCAGGCTGACCGGCCTTGTGACATCCTAGATGCCACCAGTCAACTGCAAGAACTCCAGGAGCTCTTGGACATACATATTCTTCCAACAGAACAGGGGCCATTCAGGTAATAATGCACCACCCCGGCTTCTTTTATCACTTATAGTCTTCCTGTGCTTCTCTCTGAGCTGTGGGCTAGCAGGTTATTCTTTCAACTTCTGTTCTTAAGAGAGGCAACCAGTTCCCCCCTCCTGAGCCCGGAAGAAGGGAAGAAGCCCATCGTTAATGGCCTGCCCCGATGGTTGACTTGCATCTCCTGGCTCCCTCTCGGTGTCACTAGCCCAGCTGCAGCCTTTTTTACTGCATTTTATAGTCTGGAACTGAACAAAGACCAGGCCACCAACTGGGTTATTTCAGTGATATTATCAGTGCTTCAGAACATCTTCATCAGCCAGCTAGTAAAGGTATGTGAAAAATGGGTCATACTGGCATGGTAGGTGGGGGGGGGGGGGCCCCCCCCACGGGGCGGTACCCACTCTAGTTGCAGGTAGTTTGGAACAGTGAGACCCTTGGGTGTTAATTCAGAGTGCCTAATGTTTCTGCCAATTTGACCACACACACACACACACACACACACACACACACACACAGAAATAGGCAGAATGGGATTTGAGATATGAGTGAGGTAGTCACAGAAAAAACTAACCAGAACTGAGAGACCAGTAGAAACAGAGCAGAAAAGCATTGCCAAGTTAAAAAGGACAAGTAAAAAAATCAATCGGCATCAAACTACTTTTTAAAAAAGCAACAGAAAACTTAATTTTTAACAACTTTGGATTAAGGAAAATGTCAAGCCCCACAGAAATGTGTAGAGAATAGTATAACGAATTCTGCCGTTCTGTTAGCCAGCTTCAACCATTACTTCATTACCAGAACAAGTCAATCATCTATTTTGAAAAGAAAAATGCCTCACTTCATATCATCTTATCCATAAACATTTTAGTGTGTATATTTCTAAAAAAAAAAAAAAAGACTATTTTTTTGTTTTGTTTTTAAGGTTTTTGTTTTTTGAGAGAGAGACAGAGCATGAGCGAGGGAGGGGCATAGAGAGAGACACAGAATCCAAAGCAGGCTCCAGGTTCTGAGCTGTCAGCACAGAACCCAACATGGGACTCAAACCCATAAACCGTGACATCATGACCTGGGCGGAAGTCAGATGCTCAAGCAACTGAGCCACCCAGGCGGCCTTTAGGCCTCTTCTTTTAAAAACATAAATATAGGGGCGCCTGGGTGGCTCAGTCAGTTAGGCATCCGACTTTAGCTCAGGTCATGATCTCACGGTTTGTGAATTTGAGCCCTGAGTCGGGCTCTGCACTAACAGCTGATAGCTCATAGCCTGGAACCTGCTTTGGATTCTGTGTCTCTCTCTCTCTCTGCCCCTCCCCAACTTGCTCTCTCTCTCTCTCTCTCTCTCTCTCTCTCTCTCTCTCAAAAATAAACATTTAAAAAGAGTAAAAAAACAAATATAAAAACAATTATCACACTAATGTGTTAATATTTATACAATACAAATGTACTTTACACTATAAAAAGATTAAGATGGTTTTTATGTTGTGTATTTTAACGCTTTTTAAAAAAAAGCCAGGGTTCAGATTTTCCTAATTGTCTCATACATGTTTATTTTATAGTTATTTTGTTCAAATCAAGATTCAAATAAAATCCATGTGTTGCAATCAGCTGATACATCTTTTAAGTACTCTTTATGCTTAGTCTACAGGAGCTCCTCCCTTTCTCTTCCCATTGCCTCCATTCTTGCTATTTTTATCACAGTGTATTTGTTGAAAAAACTGTATGTTGTCCAGTAGAGTTCTAACATTCTGGATTTTGGTTACAGGATTGTTTCTGCTTTAAGAACCATAGAGGATGGGCCTGAGCTCCCACAACCAAACCTGGAGAACTCTTAAAACTCTTGACATTCAAGCCTCACTTCAGACCAATTAAAATTTTTTTTAATTTTTTAAAATTTATTTTTGAGAGAGACAGAGTGCAAGCAGGGGAGGGGCAGAGAGAGAGGGAGACACAGATTCTGAAGCAGGCACCAGGCTCTAAGCTGTCAGCACACAGCCCAGTGCAGGGCTCAAACCCACAAACTGTGAGATCATGACCTGAGCCGAATTCAGACATTCAACCGAGCCACCCACGCACCCTAGACCAATTAAATATTGGTCAAAAAACCAGACCAAGTAATGCCTAGAGATGGTTTCCAACGCCCAGCATGCTTAAACTTCCCAGGTGGTTCCAGTGTATAGCCCCATTTGAGACCCACGGATCCCAGGGTGAACAAGGAGTAGGTAGATCTTAATTAAAAACTGCTGGAGGAGACCAAAAATATAACAAGACCTCTTTAGGAGACTCCTTTGTATCAAACACACAGACAAAGGCTTTCAGGAAATGAAAAATGTGATTTACAAATTTTTAAAATTCACAAGTTGAATTGAAGGAGATGTCACTAATCACCAGGAAGTTTAAGTAAACCAAAATAATGCAAAACATGAAATACATATATAAAAATACTGAATAAGGGTGAACAGACTTATTTTTTTTCTTTTTTAAAATTAAATTCTAATTAGTTAACATGCAGTGCAATATTGGTTTCAGGAATAGAATTCAATGATTCATCACTTATATACAACACCCAGTGCTCATCACAAGTGCCCTCTTTAATACCCATCACCCATCTAGCCCATCGCCCACCCACCTCCCTCCCTCTGTCAACACGTCGTTTGTTCTCTATTGTTGAGTCTCTTGTGCTTTATTTCCCTCTTTTTTTCTTACCCCTCCTTCCCATATGTTTACCTGTTGTTCTTAATTCTAAATATCAGTGAAATCATGTGGTATTTGTCTTTCTCTGACTTAAATTTCACTTAGCATAGTTCATTCTAGCTCCATCCACATCATTGCAAATGGAAAGATCTCATTCTTTTTGATTGCCAAGTAATATTCCGTGGTATGTATATGTGTGTGTATATGTATATGTATACACATACACATACCTTATCCATTCATCAGTCAATGGATATTTGGACTCTCTCCATAGTTTGGCTATTGTTGCTAATGCTGCTATAAACATTGGGGTGCATGTACCCCTTTTAAATCTGTATTTTTGTATCCTTTGGATAAATACATAATAGTGCAATTGCTAGAACGTAAGGTAGTTCTATTTTTAGTTTCTTGAGGAACATACTCTTCTCCAGAGTGGCTGCACCAGTTTGCGTTCCCACCAACAGTGCAAGAGGGTTCCCCTTTTTCCTCATCCTTGCCAATACCTGTTGTTTCTTGCATTGTTAATGTTACCCATTCTGACAGGTATGAGGTGGTATCTCATTGTGGCTTTGATTTGTATTTCCCTGATGATAAGTGATGTTGAGCATCTTTTCATGTGTCTGTCAGCTATCTGGTGTCTTTGGAGAAGTGTCTGTTCATGTTTTCTGCCCATTTGTTAACTGTGTTATTTGGGTTTTTTTGGAGGGTGTTGAAGGGAGAAGAGACTTAGACTGTAGATCCAGGATACTTAACATGCAGGTGATAGGAATGATAATAAGTAAACAATCCACTCTTGCAAAGAAATATTTAATTTATATTAAAAGGCCTCAACTAGTTCCAGGCACAATCAATTGTAAAAGACGCACTGAAATGGAGAATAGCTCTGGAATGGAGCCCAGAATTCTGCATTCCTGACAATTTCCCAGGTGCTGCTGGTGCTGCTGGTTCATTGATCACACTTGGAGTAGTATCATTCTGTGTAACAGTTTCTGTGAAAAGTCAATATCATGAAAAAATTAATGATGGGGGAGTATTCTAGATCCTTTGACTAAATAAGACATTTTTAACATGGATAGGATATTATTCGAGGAAATTATTGATAATTTCCTTAAGTGTAATAATGATAGGAGAATGCCCTGGTTTTTAGGTGATACATACTTGCATACAGGTAGTCCTTGCTTTGTGCTGTTTCATAGTCTGTGAATTTTAGTTACATGGTTTAGTTAAATAACACCGGTGTCCCAGCAACACAGCTCAAATATCATTTACCATGGTCCTTGAACTGTGAGTGATTGCATAAAGTACTAACTGCTTGCTGTTAGCTCTTCAGTCCACAAATCACCACCTAAATAACAGCTGTACATCATGATCAGTGACTGTGTCACTTTTAAAGTATGTGGATGATTGGCCACCTATTATCTGGCTTAGGTACAGACAGCAAAGTGTGTAGTTGTGTTATCTCCTTGTCTTCCAATCACAAACCCCTGTGACATTTTACACACACAAAAAAAAGATAATCGGAAGAGGCAATTGACCCACAAAGATATAAGTAACAAAGAAAAGTGGAAATGCTGGAAGTGGCATTTAAATAGGTGTAATTGACAGGGGTGCCTGGGTGGTTCAGTCGGTTAAGCATCTGACTCTAGAATTTGACTTAGGTCATGATCTCACAGTTTGAGGGACTGAGCTCTGTGTCCAGCTCCTCGCTGAGCACGGAGGCTGTTTAGGATTCTCTCCCTCCCCCTCCTCCTCTCTCTCTCTCCCTCTTTCTTTCTCTCCCTCTCTCTCCCCCTCTCTCTCCCTCCCCAGCTCTTAGCTCTTGTACACACACTCTCTCTCAAAAAACAAAAACAAAAAAGCAAACAAACAAAAAACAACAACAACAAAGCAGGGGCACCTTGGTGGCTCAGTCAGTTGAGCTTCTGACTTTGGCTCAGGTCATGATCTTGCAACTTGTGGGTTCAAACCCTGCTTTGGGATTGCTTTTGTCAGCACAGAGCCAGAGCCTACTTTGGATCCTATGTCCCCCTCTCTCTGCCCCTCCCCAGCTTGTGCTCTCTTTCAAAAATAAACATTAAAATTTTTTTTCACCAAAAAGTGATTTTTCTCTATACAAAGTAAATATTTTTAAAAGCAAAAGAAATTTTATGATCACAATGGCCAAAAAATTTGTAAGAAGTTTATCTTCCCTGGAGTCAAATATATTAGAACAATAATATTCCAATTGGTTTTTAAAAAAATGGCAAAAACCTGATAATACATGGCGATGCCTCAACCCTTCACTGCTAGCGGAGGAAAATAAGGCAACACAGGGTAAAACCTTCAAATTCTGCATCCCTTTGCTAAATAAGTTTCATTTCTAAGGACCTATCCTGAGAAAATTCAAAGTAGTTTACTTTTAAAAATTGGCAACAAATTAAATGCCCCAAAATAGGGCACTGCTTAATGAATGTCTTAATATGAGGTAGCCATATCCATATAGTGGAATGCCAAACAACCATTAAAAATGTTAAAGAAAATGTAGTGACATGGAAAGCCAGTCCAGATATATTAAGACACAAGTGATTAAGGGATCTATTCCAAATTTAAATTTTTCTTAAAATCTCTAATTCTTCCTTTTTCCCAAATTTTTATAAAAAACGTTTATCACTTCAGTTAAAAAAGCTGAAGGGGTATGCCCAGGTGGCTCAGTCAGTTAAGCCTCCAACTTCAGCTCAGGTCATTGTCTCATGATTCATGAGATCTAGCCCCACATCAGGCTCTGTGCTGACAGCACAGGGCCTGTTTTGAATCCTGTTTTCCTGTCTCTCTGCCCCTCTACCGTGCTCGAGCTCGCTCTCTCTTTCTCTTTCTCAAAAATAAATAAAAAAATTTTTTTAAGTTGCAGGGGCGTGTTGGTGGAAAAGTATAAAAAGGAAGAAATGGAAGCAGGTGTATTAGATTAGTTATTGCTATCGCTACTGTGTTGAATTTGGTTGGACCTGTGGCCAAGTGAAGTTTCTACTTTTTCTCCCATCTAGTCCGGGGACCAGCCACTAGAGGGCCACCTGAGGTCTCCAGAGGAGACACACCCAGAATGGAGTGTCTAAAATCGGGTGTGTGGCGGGGCACCTGGGTGGCGCAGTCGGTTAAGTGTCCAACTTCAGCCAGGTCACGATCTCACGGTCCGGGAGTTTGAGCCCCGCGTCGGGCTCTGGGCTGATGGCCTGGAGCCTGTTTCTGATTCTGTGTCTCCCTCTCTCTTTGCCCCTCCCCCGTTCATGCTCTGTCTCTGTCCCAAAAATAAATAAAAACGTTGAAACAAAAATTAAAAAAATAAATAAATAAATAAAAAATAAAATCGGGTGTGTGGCAACAGGCTGGAAATAGCACCCTTGTCTTTATTCTCCTGAGGACTAGAGCGCTTTCTTCCCCTCCATGGAGATTAAAGGACAAGGTGGAGGGGGTATACTTATTACACATGTAACAGATACTTTTAAAGTCTTAGTTACAAGAGTCCATGCTTACTTTAGCAAAAGAGAGAGTTAATCGTTGGGATTTTTATCCCCAGGGGCATCTGGGTGGCTCAGTCGATTTAGAAGCCAACTTCAGCTCAGAACATGATTTCACAGTTTGTGAGTTTGAGCCTGGTTGGGTTCTCTGCTGTCAGTGCAGAGTCTGTTTTGGATCCTCTGTCCTCTTCTCTCTCTACCCCTCCCCCACTTATACTGTCTCTGTTTCTCTCAAATAAATAAACTTTAAAAAAGTTTTTTAAGAAGTGTAGCTTCTCCAGTCCAGCTCATTAGAGGTCTTCCAAAGACAGGTGGGTTTTGTTTGTTTGTTTAATTTAAGTAGGCTTCATGCCCAGCCTGGAGCCCAACATGGGGCTTGAACTCATGACCCTGAGATCAAGACCTGAGCTGAGATCAGGAGTCAGACACTTAACCAACTGAGCCACCCAGGCACTCCAAGAAAGATGTTCTTAAGTAACTTACACAGATCATCGCAAATCATCTGATAGTTAAACTTTCCTATCAAGCAGCTTACGGACTACAAGCAAAATTAGAAATGTTAACATTGTATTAACCAGGTCCCTGTGATTATGCAAAAATAATTATGAAACCACCTAATTTTTGGTTTTTCATGATAATAAAGGGTCAAATAATTGAAATGCATAGTCACCTTGGATCCTGTTCTGTCTGCTCCTTCTGTGATCTTCTCTGTTTCCCCTGTGATCTCTCTGTCTAGGCGATCGTCCTCACATTGTCCATCTCACTGATGCGGAACAGGATGCCGTGTCTTACCAAAGAGAAGGAACAACAAACAAGGAGGATCTTGGCACTCTTGGGTAATTTAAGTAGTTCTGAGTACCAACATCTGATTTTGCAGAGAGCAAATTGTATTGAAATACTGGACATCTAGCCACCTCACCGAGTCAGTCATCTATGTAGGGACCTTGTCTTTCCTTAGCTGGCTGCTCCTTCTCTGCTGCCCATGGAAAACCATTGTGTCACCACACTCATGTGCTCCTCCTGAGACCCTCTCGTGCTCTCTCAGTGCTGTGCCTCTTGTCCGGGTCCTGCATCTCCTTCCAAGTGTCTGTCTCACCCCTGAGCCCCAGAGGCTGTTTCCAGCTGCTCACCATCTTTATCTGGACACCTCTGATCAGACCTACCCCAATCCAGATTGCCTGGCCTGCAAACCCACTTCTTTACTCTTCTCCTTTCATTTCAGTACATGCCCACTCGCTAAAAATGTCAAAATAATCCTCAATTCTTACTCGTTACATTCAGTCACCACGCCTGAGGGAAACTACCCTCTAAAAACCTGATTGGAGCTGCTCCTGTTATGCAAATGAACCTCACAAACACAATGGTGAGTAAAAAAATTAACATAGTACTTTAATCATGGAAAACAGCACATATATACACTTGTGTGTATACATAGACATATCTATCTATATATATTTGTATACATATATAGGTCTATATATGTGTATACAGAGATCTATATAGACCTATATAGACCTATATAGATCTCTGTATACACATATACATACACATGTATGTGTGCATATATATTATATATATATATATATATGTATGTATGTATGTATGTATTTGTGTCTGTGAAGAAATGCATGGGAATGATAAACTCTAAAATTCAGCATTGGATTAGCTCTCTGAAGGAAAGGAATACTATCACAGACAAACACTAACCAACTTTATTAAGTAGTGGTAACTTATTTCTTAAGCTGAGTGGTAGATACATTACTAAGGGATAGGCACCCCATTCCTTATGAGATTTGTAGAAATTAATCTGGTTTCATACTGCCTTCCTAGGCCTCATTTCATTTCTCCATGCTCTGGAATTGTTGTTCCCTCTGCCTAAAAAGAACTTTTTCTTTTCTTGTCCTTGTCCATTTGGAGAATTGTATCTGACTCATCCTTCACAACAAATGTCAAGTTTCACCTCTATGACACCTTCTCTGACTTCCTCAGGGAGATTTATTTTCTCTTCCGTGACTCCCAAGCATTCGGTACAGACGTGCTAGCAAGTTTCATGTCCTATTCTGGCTCCTTCTCTCTCCATCTTGGTTTACATGTCTCTAGATACTTCTCACGGTGTGGTCCGCAGACAGCAGCTTTGGCATCTCCTGGAATTTTAGAAAATGCATAATCTTAGGCCTCACCCCAGGATCTGCATTTGAACCACATTCCCAGGCGGTTCCTGTGCACATTGAAATGTGAGGAACCCTGCTCTCCAACAGTGCTCCCCACGTGCGGTTCACGGACTAGCACTGCTTGTTTCTAGTCCAAGATGAAAACAGAAAGTGAGAGGAAGTATTTAGAAAGTTTTATAGCAATCGGGCAGACCAATTTTAGACATATTGAATCTAATTTTTTTTTAATTTTTTTTTAACGTTTATTTATTTTTGAGACAGACAGAGACAGAGCATGAACGGGGGAGGGTCAGAGAGAAGAAGACACAGAATCTGAAACAGGCTCCAGGCTCTGAGCTGTCAGCACAGAGCCCGATGCAGGGCTCGAACTCACGGACCGCGAGATCATGACCTGAGCCGAAGTCGGCTGCTTAACCGACTGAGCCACCCAGGCGCCCCTGAATCTAATTTTTAAAGTAGGACTTGGGGACACCTGGGTGGCTCAGTCAGTCAAGTGACTGACTCTTTATTTTGGCTCGGATCATGATCTCGAGGTTCGTGAGTTCGAGCCCCAAGTTGGGCTCTGCACTGTCAGCATGGAGCCTGCTTGCATTCTCTGTCTTCTCTCTCTCTACCCTTCCCCTCATCTCTCAAAATAAATAAACTTATAAAAAATGGGACTTGTATTTTACATGCTCCTGTTTTACTTCTTTATTCTAGCAATTCCTTGTTATTGTATTTTATCAAAGTATCTGTCCCCAGTGGACTGGAATTTTTCTTACATCCTTCATGATAGTTTGAGAAGTGCCACTGCTGTAGCTTTATTCTTTGTGTTTTCAGCATTTAAGAGGAGGTACTCATAGTAGAGTTTCAGCAAATGTTGATGAATAACTGCTTAATGAAATATAACTGTTTTTTGGGCTACATTTGAATTTTTGACAGCACAATGTTCACCATTACCTGGTTCGAGAGATAAGAATAACCCCGTCTATACAGCTCCAGCTTTCCACAGCCCGGGTAAGTGACCAGAAAGGACCTTGAAAGAGAAGAAACATTTCAAGCTGACGGGAGATATTTTGGGCATGGAAAGCAAACAGTAATGTGTTGATCCTGTAGCACAATTCCCAGCAAAGGGGGAGTGAGAAGTAAATGAAAATACAGGGGAGTGAGAAGCTGTCTTAAAATACTCCCCTTGAAAAAAATATGGACTCCAGGGAGTGTGGTAAATGGGCAGACGCCTGAACTTAGGAGTCATGAGAAGTCATTATGTGCTTGAATAAGCACCTTCCTCTGCCTACAGAGTAGAGTAACAACTTGATCTATATACTTCACAGGAGGAAAAATGAATATGCTTTCAAAAGTGGTTGTCCTCGGGGCGCCTGGGTGGCTCAGTCCGTTGGGCATCGGACTTCAGCTCAGGTCATCTCACAGTTTGAGTTCAAGCCCCATGTCAGGCCCTGTGCTGACAGCTCAGAGCCTGGAGTCTGCTTCGGATTCTGTGTCTCCCTCTCTTTCTGCCCCTCTCCTGCTCATGCTCGATCTCTGTGTCTCAAAAATAAATCGTTTAAAAAAAATGAAAAAAAAAAAAGTCGCTGTCCTCTAAGTACAGGGGAACTGGTTCAGCACATATCATGTTTGGGTTATCGCATTTCCTGGACCAAAGAAGACCAATTCTGTTTTTATCTGCCTTCCCTTTCTTGTGAACACAGTCCAGAGATAGCTAGAGAGAGAAAGGTTGGGGGCGGAGATGCATTTAGTTTTAAGAACTAAAATACAGCAATTTTTGTGTAGGATTTTGTGTATCTTATTTAAAGGAAGACTTCTGATGAGTGGCAGAGTAATTCTGGGAAGGAATATATAAATATTTGTAGATATGTATAGGCACCACCATGAGCCAAATACGTTGGCTCATCTGTTTTCAGTTGTTGGGTTGAATGAAATTGCCAAGGCTTGGGAACCATGAAGGAGAAGGTGTAGAGAATTTCTAAGTTAATCACTCAACTGTAATTTTTTTTTCCTATTCTTTCCTAGTACAAATCCTCTTCCTCATCTTGTTGATGACTGCGGTCTACTCAGCACAGAACTCCAGTAGGTTTTACCTCCATCAAGCTATTTGGAAGAGGTTTTCCCACCGTTTCTCAGAGATCAGACTTCTTAAGCATTTCTACCCACAGGCCAATCTCACCTTCCTAACCTTTATGGGGATTACAGAGGTATGGACACAGTCCTGGGGCCCCACTTCTGGGATGCTTCTTGTTCAAAATTTTCTACCAGTGACCAACACTTTGTCCTACCTTTCTGTCCTAAGTAAGCTGTATTTTGGAAATTGTTGGATTCATTTATCTCAGGATTGGTAGTTTCCTTTGGGCATTTGGAACACGGCCATGGTTCCTGGGGTGGCGGCAGGGAGAGCCCTAAAAGACACGTTCATCTCAGTAAAGGCTTTTTTGGGCCATTTAGGCAAGTGTTAACAGATGGCAACTCCTATGCCTTGCATGTTGATCCTTTCTAGTTCACTTCTGGATGGTGATACTTCTCGGTTCAGGGCATGTTTGCTTGCAGTCTGTTACTATGTGCGGAATGAAGTATTGACCAAATTAAAAGTGAATGGAACCCTGGGTGGCTGAGGCTAGTGCCATCATGGTAGGCGTGGTCCTCCTTCTGGACTCCGTGGCTCTGCAGTCTAGTGTCTTGGTCCAAAAGCACAGACTCAGAAGCAAGACTGACCAGGTTCACTTGTTAGCAGTGTATTCTTGGGTAAATTACTCAATCTCTTGGGCCCCAGTTTTTTACCTACATGATGGAGATACTCTTAGGACCTGCCCTGTAAGATTGATGCGAAGATTAAAAACTCAGTAGATGTAAATGCTTAGAAGAGTGTCTGACCCAGAGTATTTACTGGATGGGTGTTAGCTATTATTATTAACTGGGGCAGCTGGGGCTCTGGCTAATCTACTGGAACCACAAAGTGTACATGAGTTACCTAGACATGCTAAGGAAAAGCCCCAGCAATTGGTAGATGGAGACAGAGAAATAGAATTAAGTAGACCTGAGGTGAAAAGCACTAAAACTTGGCACTAACGTGGTTTATCTCTTCAACTACTAGCAAATCTTTACTTTCACTTTTATTTATCTATTTATTTTTTTAGCAATCTCTATACCCAGCTTGGGGCTTGAACTCACAACCCCAAGATCAAAAGTCGCATGGTCCTCCAACTGAGCCAGCCAGGCACCCCACAAATCTTTACTTTCAGGATTGATGTAGGCCAGTCCTGCTAGTCCAATTGTTTTCAGGAATATTGAAGCCCAAGCTATTCATGGCAGATAATCTGTTTCTTGCAAATACTTAATCTTCCTAAATAGCATGGTGCAGTGTTGAATCACATATAGGGAAGGATCTCTTTTTTTGGTAGGATTTAATTAAAAATCTTGTAGCAGTATGAGCTTGCCTTTTCTCTCTTGACTTTTCTTCCTGGGCTGAAAACAACTGATCAAAATTCTATCATAATTTCATGTACTTTTCATTTAAGAAACACAGAGTGAGAGGGGCCCCTGGGTATCTCAGTCAGCTGAGCATCCGACTTTGGCTCAGGTCATGATCTCACAGTTTGCGAGTTTGAGCCCCACATCGGGCTCTGTGCTGTGGGTGCAGAGTCTGTTCTGATCCTCTGTCTCCCTCTTTCTCTGTGTCCTTCCCCCTCTCATGCTCTCTGTGTCTGTCACTCTCAAAAATAAATAAACCTTAAAAAAAAAAAAAGAAATATAAAGTGAGACCATCTTTGAAGATTGTTAGCCCTCACCTTTCTCTTCTGTCTTCAGCCTCTCCCTGTCAGATTTCTCTCAATAATCTTTCATGTTAAAACAGGTTTTTTAAATAATTAAAACACATACATGGAGAAAACTCAAATGTGCCACAGGGTATATTGTGCAGCTCTCCTCTGTCCCCTAATCCTCGGAGACACAATGACATTCCCAATTTATTATATATTCTTTCGGAGGTAATCTGTGCATTTGCAAATATGTTTGGTAAGTGGTAGCCCACTTATAAACATTGCCACGAATTTTGTGTTTTTCTCTTAACAGTTCACCAGAGATTGTTTCATCAGTATACGTAAAGCCGCCCCTATGTTTTATTCATTTACTGTGTAGCATTCCTTTGGTCACATGTCTCATAATTTGTAAAACCAGCTCCCTATTGATAGACATTGAGATTTTTTTCAGTCTTTCATTGTTAATAATACTATTATTAATATCCTTTTGTGTACATAATTTCACACATGTACAAGTATATCTACAACATGAATATCTGGAAAAGATGTGGTAAAATGTGCATGCATTCTTTTTTTTTTTTTTCAACATTTATTTATTTTGGGGACAGAGAGAGACAGAGCATGAATGGGGGAGGGGCAGAGAGAGAGGGAGACCCAGAATCGGAAACAGGCTCCAGGCTCTGAGCCATCAGCCCAGAGCCCGACACGGGGCTCGAACTCCCGGACCGCGAGATCGTGACCTGGCTGAAGTCGGACGCTTAACCGACTGCGCCACCGAGGCGCCCCTGTGCATGCATTCTTAATTTAGAAAGATATTGCCAAAGGGTACCTGGATGGCTCAATTGAGTGACTTTTTTTTTTTTTTAATTTTTTTTTTCAACGTTTATTTATTTTTTTGGGACAGAGAGAGACAGAGCATGAATGGGCGAGGGGCAGAGAGAGAGGGAGACACAGAATCGGAAACAGGCTCCAGGCTCTGAGCCATCAGCCCAGAGCCCGACGCGGGGCTCGAACTCACAGACCGTGAGATCGTGACCCGGTTGAAGTCGGACGCTTAACCGACTGCGCCACCGAGGCGCCCCTGTGCATGCATTCTTAATTTAGAAAGATATTGCCAAAGGGTACCTGGGTGGCTCAATTGAGTGACTTTTTTTTTAATGTTTGTTTATTTCTGAGACAGACACAGAGCATGAGTGGGGGAGGGGCAAAGAGAGACACACACACACACACACACACACACACACACACACACACACAGAATCCAAAGCAGGCTCCAGGCTCCAAGCTGTCAGCACAGACCCCGACGCGGAGCTCGAACTCACAAACCGTGAGATCATGACCTGAGCCGAAGTCGGTCGCTCAACCGACTGAGCCACCCAGGCGCCCCCAGTGACTTTTTTTTTAAATGTCTCTATGTCTGTATTTGTATGCTCAATCTTTCCTCTAGCCTCCTGAACCTATGAGATACTTTTTTTTTTTTTTTTAGTTTGTTTATTTTGAGAGAGAGTGTGAGCAGAGGAGGGGCAGAGAGAGAGGGAGGGAGAGAGATTGGATCCCAAGCAGGCTCTGCACTATCAGTCGGACGCTTAACTGATTGAGCCATCCAGGCGCCCCAAGTGTCTGACTCTTGATTTCAGCTCAGGTCATGATCCCAGAGTCATAGGATTGAGCCCCACAATGGACTCTGCACAGAGCATGGAGCCTGCTTAAGACTGTCTCTCTCTCTTTCCTTCTCTCTCTCTCTCTTTTCCCCCCTCCTTCTGCCCCTCTCCCCTGCTCTCAAACTGTCTCTCTAAAATAAAAAAAAAAAGGTTATTGCCCCAGTCTTCTCCTTAATGTACCAGTTAACACTCCCATGAGCAATGTATGAGTCTGGCCACATCCCCAACAGTCCACTGAAAATTGGTGTTTTCAAACAATACCCATAGTTCTGAAATAGAAGAAAGGCTTTGCAAGTGCACTCATGAGAAAATGGAAGTCAAAACCAGAGTAAGGTACCATCTTCCACCTCTCATCTGGGCAGAATTTGCCTCTGCCCTTGCCCTGCTTCATTCCATCCTCCCATATTGTTTTCAAACATAAATCAGTATTATTCCCCTGTTCAAAACCTCCCAGTAGATTGCTATCATACTTAAAATCCCAAACCCTTTCCAGAGCTTACAGAGGCCTGCCCAGCCTGGCCCACAGCTACATCTCCACTCCTATGCCCACCCCTCCTCCACTGTCCTTCAGCCATGCACACTTCTGTGCCCTCCCACACACCAACCCTGTTCTCAACTCAGGGCCTTGGAACGTGCCGCTGCCCTGACAGATATTTGCATTGGGTGCTCCGAACGTTATTATGGTCTCTCTCACAAGCCACATCCTCAGAGAAACTTTCTCTAGTCATCCCTTGTAGACGAATAGTAGTGTTCCCTCCCCAGCCCCCTCTATCCCTCCTCCTACTTAATTTTTCTTCTTAGCACTATCATTACCTGAATACTGTTTGGTTCTTGTCTCTCTGTCTCCCTCCTCAAATGTGTGTTCTCTGTAGACAGGGACTCTCTTTCATCCAGTATGCTCCTGGCACCTAGAGCAGGACCTGCCATACGTGTGCACTCCATACATATCAGTTGAAGGAATGTATGAATGAACGAATGTCCTTTCCTAATCTCTGCCCAGTTTTCATTGGGCTGCTTGATTTTGTTAGACTGTTTGGATATATGGGAATTTTTTGTTGGTGTTTATTTTTTTTATTTTATTTTTTTATTTAAAAAAAATTTTTTTTAACGTTTATTTATTTTTGAGACAGAGAGAGCCACAGCATGAACGGGGGAGGGGCAAAGAGAGAGGGAGACACAGAATCGGAAGCAGGCTCCAGGCTCTGAGCCATTAGCCCAGAACCTGACGCAGGGCTCGAACTCGCGGATCGCGAGATCGTGACCTGAGCTGAAGTCGGACGCTTAACCGACTGTGCAACCCAGGCGCCCCTGTTGGTGTTTATTTTGAGAGAGAATGACTGAAGGAAAGAGACAGAATCCCAAGCAGGCTCTGTGCTATCAGTGTGGAGCCTGAGATGCGTTTCAAACCCATGAACCGTGAAATCACAACCTGAGCTGAAATCAAGAGTTGCATGCTTAACCGACTGAGTCACCCAGGTGCCCCGGGGGGGATCTTTTTATATATTAAGAGCTTATAGGGGCGCCTGGGTGGCTCAGTCTGTTAAGCGTCTGACTTTGGCTCAGGTCGTGATCTTAGAGTTCATGGGTTTGAGCACCGCATCAAGCTCTTTGTTCAGCACAGAGCCCATTTTAGATCCCCTGTCCCCCTCTCTCTGCCCCTCCCCTGCTTGCTCTCTCTGTCTGTCTGTCTCTCTCTCTCTCTCTCCAAATAAATCAATAAATAGCGAGCTTATATGGTTGTAGATCTAAATTTAGATTTTTATATAGAGGGGCGCCTGGGTGGCTCAGTCAGTTAAGCAGCTGACTTCAGCTCAGGTCATGATCTCGCGGTCCGTGAGTTCGAGCCCCGCTTCGGGCTCTGTGCTGACAGCTCAGA